TCCCCAGGTGGCTTAGAGACTGTCTAGGCTGCAGAGAAAAAGACCAGAGAGCAGAGAGCCATCCCACATCAGCCCCAGTGAGGAGGTGGCTGTGGCACGCTGGGGGTGGAGGACCACTGAACCTCAGAGATGGCTTTGCTGCAGCCCTAGAGGGTCTGCAGGAGGTGAAAGGCTTAAGGGCCAGACCACAGTGGCAAAGAGCTGGCCAGGTAACAGCTCATGCCTGAACTTGCAAGGGCAGACACGGACCCTGTGCTGAGCATGTCCCACCTCAGCAAAGCACATCACCGCTTCCTTGCCACGTGTCCCCACTCACCATACATCCATCGATCAGCAGGTTTTGTCCCCCTTGGAGCTAATCAACAGCTCAATAGGACAAAGGCTGTGACAAAGTCAGGAGCACTAGAGAAACACTCAAGAGACCTGGGTGAGGGGAACAGAGTGGCACACACAGTTAATGGGCCGGGAGGATGTTTGCTTTGTTTCAAGGCAGATAAACACCCAGGCAGCCCCCTTGGGCCCTGCAAAGTCACAAAGGAGTTCTGCTTCAGGCCAAGATGAAAGTCTCAAAGAATAAGCACAAAAACCACAGGGGCTCGTGAAACCCATGCTTGGTTTATTAAATGAATCACAAAGCTTTTTATCACATATTTCTGCCTCCAGAGTCACTTTACACTTCAGTTCACGTGCCAAATTCTTTGTCTTTTCCCTAACTGTGGAACCCTTGTAATACACTCAGTTTTGGAATCTGTTTGAAATCCATGAGCTTATGCTGAAGCAGAGCTTTGGTGTTTCTTGTGGAAGTCTGGCATTACTCACAGCAGGTCCCTTTTCTGAGCAGAACTGTGCACAGGCCCTGCTGCAGCAGAAGTCAACGCTCACCCTGGGGGAAGAAACAAACCAACAAGATGTAAGTCAGGTGCTCCCTATAAATGTTTGCGGGCGTTCGACTTTAGTAACTGAATATAGTTTGTGCTTTCCCTGTAAGTGAAGAATAACTATTTTCCAATGGAGTTAGCAGGAGGTAAAGCTGAAAATCAAAGTGTGAGCTTTGTGTTTCCTGACAATTTTCCTTTAACAAGGTAGTTCCAGCTGCTAACTGCATTTTATTGCATTCCTCAAAGACAGACCTCCATGCAAGAACACTTTGAAAGCTCTGCTCCAAAAATAAAGGTACCTGGAGCTATTTTTATGATTAGGTATATTTTACCAGTTGACCTCAGAGCCCTTGGTGCTGCCCTTACCCACGGCCTCACTTAGGTACGGCACAGGCTGGAGCCCCTGGCTCTGCGTTCCATTCCCGGGCAGCTGGAACAGCGGGTCCTGTTCTCACTCACCTCCCTCCCGTCCCAGGACTCGGGAAGGTGCTGAAATCTGGCACCCAATCACATCCCTGTGCCTAAGTGTCTCACTCAGCTGTGCAGGATTCCAGGCATGGGAGGAAGAAAAGTGGCCTTTCCACCTGCCTGCTGTCAAGTGCAATGCTGAAAGACTGAATGCTCATCCTGACTGAACCCTCGAACCCCCAGAGACTCCCAGACGAATACTGACTGAAGGAAGTCCCACACACATGGAAAATGCCCTTGCTAGCAATGGGGACCCTGGCAGCCATCCTGACTGAACATCCGGATCTGGAACGGAACGAGCCCACAGCTGATCCCCATTAGAGCGCTCTGATGAGGAGGTTCACTCGCACCCTTCAGAACACTGCAGACAAATGCAACTGATGACATGGCCCATCAGCCAGGAACAGCACGGAGCAATTAATCACACCAAAACTTCAATGAGCACCTCTTTCACCCCATTTCAGTCAGTCAGTTAGGGTATAGCCACTTACAGTGCAGAAAGCTCCTTCAGCACTTTTAGCAGGGCTGTTGTTAGCCCAAAGACAGACATCAGGGGCCAAACATCTGGGGGAAGCAGAAGGGCCACCACTGAACTGTGCTGAACACCTTCCAGAATTTAAATCCATTTGTTCTTTGTGCAGATGTCCTGGACAGAGGCTGACAGAAAAGGGGTGTTGAAGGGCTGTGAAGCATGTGCACATGTAAAGAAAATTCTGCATCCACACACACCGTGATCTACTGGTTTGTGATGATGATACATCAAGGCCTGAGAAAACGTAACACCCCCAACTCACCCTGCAGCCATCAGCCTGTGTAAGGAGCACAAGGCTCTACAGCCAAGTGAGCCCCCAGTAGGACCTCCAGCCCCCGCCCCAGCAGGAGCAGAACCCACCTTGCATCCACCCTGGCTAAATGTCAGCTCCCTTGGCCAGGACACAGCTCCGGGAGGGGGAAGGTGCTTTTATTTGCAATTAGAACTGCACGTGAAGCCCCATCCCGTGAAGTCCCTGTCCCTGACAGGGACACTGGCAGCCCTGGCCCTGCAGCCAGCAGCCTCCCTTCCCACGCCGCTCCTCCCAGCACCCCGATCTCCTCTTGCACCCCGATCTGCTCCCACGAGCCCTGCACGCCCCTCTCCGCAGGTCACACAGTGCCCTCAGGTGGCCGCAGGGACTCCCCAGGTTGGAGACAGAAACGGGAGCACAAACACACCCACAATGTGTCCAATACGATTCTTTATTGGCTTTCCCAGAGAAACTCCCGTTTCTTACCAAATACGTTATTTAGAGAGAAACATCCCACCGCTTCCCGGGAATGAGAGGATCAGTGCCATGGGCAACAGAAGATGTCTCTGAAGTGTCAGCAGCTGCTGCCACCAGACAGTGAAGTTTCAAGACTGATTTCAGTGGGCCCTGGCAGAGGTATCAGAGCAGCATACTCTGACACCCTTCAAAACTGCCCGTGTCAGAACTCAGGCGTCTGTACACCTCCATAATTACATTTTCAAAACAGATTTGCTCCCTCCTCCTCCTTGTGTTTGGAATGAACACAAACATACTGCTCAGAGGCACATAGTGCCCAGTGTTTGTAAGCCCTGATCTGAGATATTTTCTTTATTTCTAAGGACAGGACTCAAACATCTTTCTTACACAGCATCAGCCTAAGGGAATCTCTGTTACACTCATGCATCTGCAGCACCTCATGCCAGTAAGTCTCAGCATTTTTTCCATGATACAAAACATCTGCTGCAGGAGAATGAAAGTTCCACAGCTGGAAGTGACTCCCTTCTATCCTCATGGTTTGTTCAGCTCAGCCTCTTCTTCAGACACCAAGTCCATTTCCACTTGAAAACAGGACAGTCCAAGCATTTCCTGCTGAGGCCAAGAATCCAGTCATTCAGCTTCTGGAAAGCATCTGCAGAGCTCCCTCAGTTCCTCATCCCCTTTGCAGCATTCCAGAACACACCAAGCTGGCAGAAGCTGGTCAGTGCCAGTCCCTGCTGCTCTGTCAGGAGATAGGTGAGCAGATCAGCTCTTGATGGTTCTCCACAAACAGCGAGACCTTCAGGAGAGTATCTGAGTCAGAGAGAAAACAATAATCTTGTTGTCTTAAGGCACTTTACCTATATTCTGTACCCCCTAAACTTATGCTGTTTCTAAAGGCAATAAAGTGTAAGTAAAACTGACTGAGCAGTGAAATGGATCACTAAGCCCTTGTTACACTGTGAGGATGTTGCTTCCAGCTGTGCCCAGCTGTGATGGTGAGCACTTTCAACTAAAGCTGACCAAGATCTCAGACCAGGTCACAAAGATCAACTGAGCAGGATCACCTGCTGCTACTGAGCCCAGCACAGCCACCATGGCCAGGCCTGTGTGCTGTCACCAGGGCAGGGACAACAGCACCGAGCGCCAGGAAAAGACCCTCGGGTGTGTGCACATGGAACTACCTTGAACAACGTCTTCCTTGTGGTGCTCCAAAATCCTCTCCCAGGACTGTGGCAGGGCTTCCATGTCTGTCAGGCTGTCACAGCTGAGGCGCTGCAGGAGCAGCTTGCTCTCCAAGTACCTTCGTGCCCGGTAAGGACACCAACGAGAGAACATCCCCCCCAGCGCTGCCAAGAGCCCCCCGGGAAGGATACAGGTGCCGGTAGTAGCGCTCCACGTCCTGCAGCCCCTCCAGCACGTCGGCCAGCGACGGGCAGCGCGGTCCTCGCCGCAGGGCCCCCTCCAGCCCCAGCTCGGTCGCCCGCTCCTCGTACACCCGCAGCACGGCGGCGGCAGCGGCGCCCGCGGCGTCCCGCGCCTCCCGGAGCTGCACCCTGCGGGCACCGCGCGGTCAGCAGGGCCCGCGCCCCGCGCCCGCCCCGGCCCCGGCACCCGGGCCCCCTCACCGCCGCCCTTCGAGCTGCTCAGCAGCGCCTCGGCCGCCGCGCCTAGCTTCCGCCACAGCCGCGCCCGCAGCTCCGGGAACGCACCGAGCGGCGCCGCTCCCCACGGCAGCCGCCGCGCCGCCCGCATCTGCGCCGCCAGCGCGCCCAGCGCGCCAGCAGCAGGCCCAGGCGGACAGGGCCGCCCGTCCGCCGCCCCCGCCCGCTCCGCCGCCGCCGCCGCCCGAGTCCCGGAGCGCGGCCGCCACCGCCGCCATCGCCGCCATCGCCACCGGCGCCGCCATCGCCCCGCCCTGCGTCATCACCCCGCGCCGCCACCACCCCATTGGCTGCTTGGGGACGGCGGTTGGTTCGAACGCGCTCGCGCCCGACTCAGAGAGAGGGAGCGGCACCGAGCGGGGATCGGCCCGGGACCCTCCACACCGAGCGGGGATCCGGGACCCTCCACACCGAGCGGGGATCGGCCCGGGACCCTCCACACCGAGCGGGGATCGGCCCGGGACCCCCACACCGAGCGGGGATCCGGGACCCCACACCGAGCGGGGATCGGCCCGGGACCTCCACACCGAGCGGGGATCGGCCCGGGACCCCCACACCGAGCGGGGATCGGCCCGGGACGCCCACACCGAGCGGGGATCCGGGACCCCCACACCGAGCGGGGCCTCACCGAGACACCGAGACCGGCGCCGACACCGAGCGACCGAGCGAGCGATCCCCGGCCCCGAGCGCGGCACCAAGAGCGGCACCAAGCGCAGCCCCGTCCCGCCATGGCTCCCGCGAGGAAGAAGGGCGGCTCGAGCTCGCGCAGCAGGAAACTCGCGGCATTCCTGAAGGATTTCGACTGCGAGGGTAGGAACGGGAACGGGAACGGGGACGGGGCCGGGGCCGGGGGAGGGAACGGGGACGGGAACGGGGGAGGGAACGGCATCGCCGGGGCTGACGCCGCGTGTCCCTGCAGTGAACCAGCGTCTGGAGCGGCTGCGGGCGGACGGCGAGCGGCTGGTGAAGGAGGTGGAGAAGCTGTACGACATGGAGATCCTGCGGCTGCCGCTGGAGCTGCGCCAGATGAACTGGCTCGAATACTTCGGTAACTGGGCTGGCGCTCCCTCGGATAACAAACCCCGGCGGGAGTAAGGGAGCAGCTGGGGTCTGCTGAGCCCGGAGATCCCCGGCGGGGGCGGCCCGCGGGCTGCCCGGGAGCGTCGCTCCCGCTCTCTGAGGGTGAAAACTGCTTTGAGCTGGTTTTTGCACTGTCCCGGACTTGACCTGATTGGTCTGAAATATTTTCGTTCCAGGTAAAGAAGGAAGTGGAAAGGCACTGGAGGAGGTGGCCATGGTAGGTTTCCAGCAGAAACACACCATTGCAGGGGCTCCTCGGGCTGTAACAACATTCCAGAGCATTGCAAGAGCAAAAGTTACATTAATCTTTACACAAATTCTATTTTAAGACTTAACAGTAGGAAATGCCCATGTATCTGATGTAGGATTTGCTCCCTCCTGCTGCTCTGTGTTGTCCTTTCCTTACCTGCTGAATTCCACTACCAGACCCCTGGAAGCACATACATTTTGCAGTAAATTAAAGCATTTCCACACTGGTTGAGCAGCAGGGCATATGTGAGGCACAGCTGCAGCTGCCAAACCAGGCACTGAGTCCTGAGAGTGTCTTGTCATCTCCAGGATAACCTGAAAGGGCCCAGTTTGAGCAGAACAGCAAACGTGGAGCTGTTCTGGCTGTAAAATAATTAGGGTTTTGCTCTACAGGTTACCAGAACTCTGTGTTGCCAACAATCCTAATGGTGTCACAACTGTTTTTAATTTTAGGCAGACTTGGAAATAGCAGAAATAGACAAGCGGACAGCAGAAGTTATCAATTCTCAGTTTGAAATCGTCAAGAAAGGTCAGTTGGAGCGTTGTGAGGCCATTGGTGAGGTGGAAGCATGTCATGGTTCCTTAATGTGAATAATAATTCAGATCTTACTCACATCCCTCAATATATTTAAAACAGAAAAATAATCTTACTTTTACCCCTAGTACCTGCAGTAGGTCTAATTTAAAATAAATTTATAAAATATAAAAGCATTCAAAGTAATTCAAAGTAGTGCTCTGCAAACCATTGGGATTGCACTGGAATTTGGACTTTAGAAACAAATTTTTGCCAGAAGTGAGTGTAGTTGTTCGCTGTTTGGCTCTGCTGCCAAGTAATAATTTAAAGTTATTATTTACCTAGATAATACTTTCTCTTTCTAGTGGAGAAATCCAAAAGGAGTGTTGAAGCCATCGAGGAGGAAGCAGAGCCTCCATCACTTCCTCTACCAAAGAAATCCAGAGTTGACAGCCAGTGTCCTTCAGAGACAGAGTCTGAGAATGTGAATCCAAGAACTGCAAAGGTAAATAGCTATTCTGTGGGATGACTATCCCCAGGATGTAAATTTCTGACTGAGCTGATTACTAGGGCTGTCCAGGATGCTCTGAGGGAGACTTCAAACAGTTTCCCTGAGAATTCTAACAATAGGGGAAGGTCACGAAGGCTTGAATGGTGTTTGTTCTGGGCTCTTGTGCCGGGAGGAGACCGAGCATTTTGCCTGGAAGTGTCTGTTTGTGTGGACTCAGCTGTCCCTTGAGAGGGAAGTAACTGACCTGGTGGGTGATGTTGCTTCAGGTGAAGGCGTCCACCAAAAAGCCGCCCGTGTCCAGAAGACCCCGCTCAGCGAGAGTGAAGCGCATGAGCAAGAGGTAATGGGGATATCTCTCTTTCATCGCCAGAAATGCCGAATGAGACTGTAAATATCTTTTCTGGGATGGAGTTTGGTTCAGCAGGGGGTCGGGGAGTTGTGCCATGTTACACTAAAAAATTGACAATCTGAGAGTGAATGAAGGAAGGACAACTGCCTCTCCCGTGAGGACCAGCTGTCCCCAACTTTGCGGGTCACTGATTAGTGAGAACCCCTGGGTTTTGTGGTGATCACCTCGTTTAAGCCTCTGATAAGTGCTTCTACAATTTGTTAAAGGTCATGTTATGAGCAGATGTTTATTTCCTTTTAACAGATCAAGCAAAACCAGCTTTATCACTCCAGCTACTGGGAGAATGGGTGATTTCTGCACTCGGGGAGGTACCTCCATGATCACACCCAGATTTGATTCTAGGTTTGTATTCTGTTAGGTTTCTCTGTTGATCTGTTAACAGAGAAAATAAATCTCTTTCCCTCCTATCTCTGTTATAATCTGTTATATGCCGTTTGCTTTGTGCCACTTGTTTGCCACACAATCTTTAGCATCTCTTTGAACATGAAATGAAAGACTTTGACTAGAAGTGCTTTGAGCAAATAGTGCTCACTAATAACTTCTTGTTTCAGGGTGTTCAAGACGCCGGGTTTGCGCACTCCTGCTCTCAACGAGCGCGTTTACACCATCTCTGCCAACGGCAGCCCCCTCGCCGACACTGGGGACGCCTTCCTGACCCTGCCCCTGGGTGGAGGGGAGGTAATTCCTGACATTTCACCTGCAGGGGCTGGAGGGATGTACAGGCGAGGCTGAAGCTTTGAACCTCTTGGTGCCTCACCAGCTTCAGTTCATCCACTTATGTCTCTTTAGCTGTGCCACTGCAGTTTGTCAGGGGATTGATCAAGCTTAAAAAGAACCTTAAGAGACTCTTAGTCAGAAGAGGGAGCTGCTTACACTGGTCAAAACAGAATAGAAGGATGTTTTGCTGTGCATTCAAGTAACACTTAAAGTAGCAGTAGTGGCAGGAATGCATTAATGCACTGCAAGGAAGGTGTGAGTTGAGCTTTTGGTCAACCTGAATGTAGTTCTCTGCCTGTCTGTGGTCTCTTATTATGTTTAGATCTTAATTACTTCTATTTTTTTTTTCCTGCCTCATACTGCTGCAGCTGACCAAAAGAAAGCCTAAGATTTGCGTTTGTTTCCACAGAGCATACGTTTGACAGCAAAGGATTTGACCAAGAAGAATTTTCTTCAGCTGAACCCCAAGGCCCGAGGGCTCATGAAGAAGTTGTCAGTAAGTCTGGATGTTTTTGGCGGTCATGACCTGAACCTGAAGCTGTAAGGCAGTGCTGTCACTCTGTCATTGGTCAGGGGACTGCTGAGCTGCAATAGAAACCTGATTCCCTGCCCAGCCTTGTCTTGTATTTTGGCTTATGTCAGAGGTGAAGAAGCAGCACAGAGCTTGGAAGGAGAGGGAGGGGCTTTACATCACATCTGGCTGAATACACATTGGGGAAGGAAACTTGTCAGTGCTCTGAAAAACAGAGAGTTCTCCGTTAGGCCAGAGCTGTGGGTGGTTGTGGGCTGTACCATTGTCTGAGCACTGACTGATTTCTCTTTCTCTCCAGGTTTGTCTCGCACAGGCTTGCAGTGAGGCAAAGAAACCCGTAGATGGAAGTCAGTGAGCAATGACATCCCTCTGCAAATACATTTTACATTTAGGACTGCTACCTTCATTTAGTCCTTCTAATTTGTGTTCCTTCCATTAATTTACGGAATGGAAGCTAAGAGCTAGTTTTTCTATCTATAATATGGACTGTATGTAGTGGAATCAAAATAAATTGCCTTTTTTTTTTTTTTAATTTTGGAGGAAAAACCAGTCTTTGTTTCCTTTAAGGCTGAGACCATGGCACAGTTCTCTTGGGTTTGCAGACCAGCAAGTGGGCAGAAAGGCTGTTGATTGGCAAGTTAAGAGCATTCAGAGCAAAGAACTTTGCTTCTCTAACGCTGCTTAGGATTTTTTTTTTCTAAAAATAAGCCCTGCTCATGGTGCAGAGTTCAGGGCTGCGCTGAGCAGGGCAGCACAGGGGCTTCATACACAATTTGAATTTATCTCCTTTCCTAGGGGGTAGTAACTGGGAATGGCAGTAAGGTCTCAGCTACTGTTGTGAACTCCTCCCTGAGTGGGGCTGGGACCTGGCTACAGCCCCCAGCTGAACACTGCCCTGGGGGAAAGCTCTGCATCTGGTGCCATTGGATATTTCTGTGTATTTAACTATTTTCTGAAATAAAAAAATATTGTGAATTTTCTTCCCACTTATCCCTGAAATGGTCTGAGAGCCCTGAGGCAGGATACAGAGGTCAGTGAGCAGCCTGCAGTTCAGGGTCTCTCCCCATCCACCATGCGGCAGAGGCGGGGCTGCGGTGGGAAGGGGGCAGGAGCAGGGCTGTGCTTCGGCTGGAAAGCTTATCTCCCACAGAGGGTGACCTTGTGGTCCAGGAGCCTGAGGAGCTGGATCCTGATGGCACTTGATTGATGGGATCTGAGGAGTCGTTCTCCCTCAGTGTCAGTCGGCTGCCTCTGCTGACTGCAAATGAAGGCACAAGAAATTGGACAGTAATCAATGCCAGATGGAAGGTGCACTTGGAAATGCCCCTGTCTGGAGCATGTGGCCAGCGGGAGCCTCGACCAGGACAGTGCTCAGGGCATGGCTCGAGCCCACTTAGACGCTCCTGCTTTGTCTTTCTGTCCCCAGCATTCCCCTTTGATTTCACCAGGGCTCAGGATGGAAGGATGTGCCAGCACAGCCCCAGCATTTTGGCTCAGCCTTGCTGTGCCCAGCGAGCAGACAAAGGGATCATGGGCAGAAAAGGTCTTTTTGCTTCTACTCTTCCACCTCCCGGAGGTTTTCAGAGTGGGGGACAGGGCAGTATCTTCCACCTTCCATGCTCGAATGGGCCCATTCCATCCCGTCCCACGGCTTGAGGAGTGACTGTGGCTCCGTAGGGCAAGACCAGAGCTGCTCACAGGGATCTGGGTGACAAATCGCTGGTGACATTGTTGAGGGGAGCACGCACATGCAGTGATGGGGTTGTAATGAATTAAGTGCTGTTAAAATTGATGCAGGACTGCTGCAAGGAATGTACATGTGTTGTGAGGAGTAGGACACAGGGGTGATGAATATTGTCCATTAGCTGTGATAAAAAGCCTATCATCTCAATACATATTTTCACAAACTAATTTAAGGCTGAAAGAGATTATTAAAAATGAGGAGAGGAAATTGTCTGGGATACATTTCGAGTCCCTTGCTAGGTAAGATGAATTCCAGAAGTCAAAATACCGCCTGTGGGGTAGAAGGAATCAATGCAGGTATTGTGGTGGCTCATGATAAGAAGACAGGGCAATTCCACTGCCAGGGGAGCATCTGGGGAAGGATAACCCTCATCTAGGACTGGTATGCTGGGGACCAGTGTGCTGGGGAGCAGAAGGCTGAGCTGATCCCACAGCACAGGAACCATCCTGGAGCTGTCAGCCCTCCTCAAGAGAATGGAGCAGAGCACATCTCTGCCCTGAATCCAGGGTCCAGCTGGTTCCTTCCCACCTTGGTTCACTTCCTGAGGCTGTGGCTGCTTTGCAGCTAGGCAGTGGAGACACAAGCCATTGAAGGATCCTGGGGATTCCCAGGGGAAGTTGCTTCTGCAAAATGGCATTTACGAGCAGCCATGCCTGGAGATGCTCAGGAGAGAAGTCCTCAGACCTGGTGCTGGTTGGGCTCAGGCTCTGTTCCTCTGCATTTCATTCTCTGTCATAAAAAGGACAAATGTCCCTGTACCCCAAGTGCTGTGCCAGCGTGGGTCTAAGGAGACAAACATGGCCAGGCCGCAACCTGCCGTGCTCTGGACATGTGGAAATCCGAGTTTTGATCTTGGCTGTTCCCTCCCTCTTTCATTTATCTCTCTGTGCTGTTCTCTATGACAAGATCATTAGAAACCTGGTTGCTATTGCTGAGCTCTTCCTCCTGAGCTGTGTGTAACTGCGGACGATGTCTGCAAGACAAGAGGCTTAATTGTGTTCTGCCAGCATCGAGGGGCTGTCAGCCAGGCATATTTAAAGCCAGGTTGGGTGGGGGTGGGAGATGCACCTCCATTACTCACCAGCCTGGATGAGGTTTAGCTTTATTGTATCCGGAAATAGCCAGACCCTGGGAGGTGCTGATTGAAGCCATCTGAAAACATGACAACATCCAAGGGATGAGAGTTGTCTAATCTAATGAAGCCAGAGCGCATTAGGTAAGAGCTGTGCAAAGTGAGGAAAACGCAGTTAAAGCATTCCTGAGGACAGCTGTCGACCTGTGTCAGGGACACTGGGGCTGACACATCAGCACGTGTCTAATGAAAACAAATTATCTGTTTGAAACAGTTTGGGTTCCCTAGGCAGGGCTGGTGGCACCTGTCTGTGCAGCACTGGGGGCATGGCAGGGTTTTGTCTTGCGGGAATACAGCCCAGGAGCAAGTCACTGCCTCATTCCCCAATGATGGAATAAGGGAGCCCTTGGGATTAGTGCCCATGCACGGCTCATCAGGGCTCTTCCCAGATAAACGCCCTTCCCGAGGCTGCCAGACTGACACCTTTCTTGCAGTGTGGTGACCAGGCAGGATCCCTTCCCTCCCTGCAGAGTTCTGGAAGTTTTTGTCTCTAAATAACCCCTTAGAACCCTTCAGGCTGGTGAAGTGCAGGGGCCAGTGCTCTGGACAGGGCAGGCAGCAGTCTTGCTGTGTCACCACTTCGGTGTTGGGGAAGTGGAAATGGAGGAAATGCTCCTTTTCCTTCAGTGGACAGAGTGGATTGTGCTTTGTGCTCTCTCTTCCCAGATCTACTGTATAGGAGCTGCATTAAGGATCTGGGTTTCCTGTTGCACATTTGGATAGAGACACCTTCCGCTCTCCCTTTAGACTCCTGCTGTTATAAATAGTGATCAAACCCACACATTTCTGTAAATCGCTGGCAAAAGAAACTTGTATCAAATCATGCTTCTTTGGCAAGAGTTTAAATTGACAGTGACAAGCTTATTTCTAGAAGAAGGTTCTATTTTGGGGAGCTTGATTCATTGTGCCACTTGGCGTTTTGATGCAGTGTGATGTGATACCTGACACATCCTGTTCCCTGCGAGGCAAAGCAGGGATTTATGCATTGCTGTGAGACAGAGCCACCCGCCTCTCATCAGGTGAGACAACACTGTTAGCAATGATTTTAACAGGCTCAGGGAAACTCTTATCCTTCTGGGGGTCCCTGAGCCTGTTTTTCCCTGGGGATGTACAGCATTCCTGATGTAAATTCCATTACCCTGAGAACCTGTATTTACAGTCACAAACCACCATTTATCCAACACATAATTGCCATCACCCAGGAGCACCTAAATCTCACAAAAAGCCTTTTCATTGCCCTATTAATCTCTTTGTCTCCTGGCATTTAATAGAATTCACTTAAAAATATTTCACAGCATAAACCCCCAGGGCTGAGTACCATCCCTACAGCTGGCTGGAGGGACAGCCCGACCACCTCCATGCTTGGGAAACTGGGCGCATGTGGCCCCACTGTCCTCTCATCCTGGCTGCTGCCCCACTGCTGCCCCATCACACCTGAGCACTCTATTAAGCCCCCAGTGAACAGAGATGCCCCATTCCCCCAGGAACTTGTCATTATGAAGAAGGGACCAGAGGTGACAGGAAAAGACCAGCTCCTGCTCCCCCAGTGATGGCCAAACCTGTGCCACAGCAGTGGCTCTGGGACCAATACAGACCTGCTGACAGCACAGCTCCTCTGCTTTTGTCCGTGCCCCTTCAGGGGTGGCAGCTGCCCAGGAGCAGCCGCTGTGCCGAGCGATAACAGCAGCTCTTTGTTTGATGCTGAAGGTGCTTGTCAGCCTCGGTGAGATAAAAAGGCAAAAGACATTTATAATTGTGCAATTAAATGTCTTCTGTGCCTTCCAGGTGGCTGTTGCTGCTGTGCAGATGTCCCTGCTGTCAGCAGGCAGACACAAATGGAGAGGCAACTGCAGTCACCCATGGGGTGGTGGGTGCTGCTGGATTGCACCCAGACCTGTGCCAGTGTCTCCTAGCACCGTGTCTAGGTCACCCAGCCCTGTGCCAAGGCCGCCTCAACTGGGACGTGCCACAAACCCCAGCACTTGCCTCACCCCTGGCATCCCTCAACAGCTGGCACAAGTGCACCCACCTTGTCCCTGGCCGAGGTGGGCGCACGGCACTGGGGGCAGCCTGGTGGGGCACTGGGAGCTCATCTTTTGTGAGGCAGGAGGAGCTGAGGGGTCTGGCCGTGTCTCAGCCTGTGCAGTGCTCTTCAGGCACACTGAGACCACGGGAGATAAATATGAGGAGGAAACAAGGATCTGTCCAGGTGACACTTGAACTGAGAGATTGCTGATTATGATGATAGATGGCACCTGCTTTTCCTGATAATTAGCCATCATTTGTATTCAAACCTTGCTCTTCCTCCAGAGCCAGGCTCTTTTAACATTCCCTGGGCACAGGGACACGCCAGGAAGGCTGGGCTTGTCTGACCTCAGCATGCTGCTGTCACGGCTGCAATGGCTTGTCCTGGCCTCACCAGCCATCACAGCAGAGACAGAGCTGTGCAGCCTGGCTGCAGTGAATGGCCAGAAGAAGAGCAGGGAGGATGATGGATTTTGTGTCTGAGGTTGCTGAGTGGGAGTGAGGGACAAGAGGAGAAGCCCTGGCTCCTCCTCTGCCTGTCTCAAAATGTGGAGCCACCAGTGGGGCTGACCGGACACTGGCAGCTGCTCTCATCAGCAATGAAAGTTTTATTTTAAAAAATCCTCCATATGAGCAGCACCTGCCAAGTGCTGAGGCCATCCCTGACTGAACACTGCTGCACCTTGGGATTCCCTGGCTGAGACATAACAGCTTATTGATCCCTCTTTGTCACCAGAGCTGCATCCTCCGGTACAGTGTGGGGATGAGCAGGGTGCAAGGCTGGTGCAGGGCTGGCACAGGGGGGTGCCAGCCCCCAGTGCATCCAGGACACGAGGTGTCCCACAGCCTCCAGCCGAGAGGGTGCCAGGAAGGTCACAGAAGAGAGACAAATCCATTGCCACAGCCCACAGGAGGCACAGCTGCCAATAACTGGGTAAAATCTGCCTCTGCTTGGCTGTGACTGAGAATCCGCTGTTCATCACCTTGCTCCAGAGCTCTAATTATTTCTTTATAGTGCCAGTACAGCCCTGGCCAGGCTCCGAGCTAACGCTGCCTGAATTAATTGACCAACAGAAGGCAAATAGACTTCACCCATTCTAAGTACCCATTCAGTCCTTTCCCAGCAGCTGTCACTGCTATCACTGCACCGACCTGGGCTCCTGTGCCTGTTCCTTGGCATTGAACAGCCTGGGAAAAAGAGAAGAGGTGTGAACGAGTGAGAGTCACATCAAATAATTTCTAGATATCATTGTGCAGAGTTTGCATTTAATGTGCTGGCCACACACAGTTTTCATTTACTCAGTTGAACAATTAATTACATGGCTTGCTCACAGGAACTCTGCAGCATTTTCCTACAGCATCCCCACACTTACACACCAGCACCTGCATCAGACTGACCATTGCATTTGAACTGACAGATTCACACTGCAAGCACTTCCATGGTTATCTGGTCCTTAGGGTGATGGGAGGGACTCCCACCTGCCCAAACAGCATCTGTCCCCACAGGCCAGGCCATGCACCTTTCTGTTCACACAACACACACTAGCAAAGCAAAGTAGATGTTTTTGTCCCCACTATGAACTGTCAGTAGCAAGAAATCACCCCTTCTGGCCACTCTACAGCTGGAGCACAGGCTCACATCTTGGCATACACAAGAAAAAAAAACCAACAAGACATCACTTCACACCTAGCTGTTATTAAAACTGTCCCTTATCTGCCACCCTTGCTAAAGTGGCACTTCCCCACATAATACTGAAATAACTCACATAGACAAGCCAAGGCAGGATTGGTTTTACTCAGGTATTTAGATATCTTTTTATTGCCATCTTCAGTCATGGTTCAATAAATACAAAATTAACAAAAATGTCAATAGATTTTTATTACTATTATTATTACTATTATTATTATTATTATTAAATATTCCAAACCAACTGAGATTCCCTGGAGATGTCTGACTATAGTCTAAACATGAGATGCACACAGTGTCCCTTGTGATATTATATTACATTTATCTCAAGCTTATAAAAATATATATTGACTTCTTGAGTGGGTATTTACAGTATTTAACAGGTGGCTAATGAATATAAAAGCATCTGGAGATGAACCAACTTGATTCCTGTTTGGTTTCATGTGAGGGGGGTGTTGCAGTTGCTCCCACAGTATTGGGGAGGAGGCAGGAGCCTTGCGCTGTGCCAGAGGTTGGATGGGAAGAGACCAGAATCATTTTGAGGCATTTCCCTTGGTTGAGCAGCTCCAAAACAGCACTGTTAATTATTTCAATTATACCACTTCCCCAAGGAGAGGGTCTGAGAGGACGCAAGTTAATTTTAAAATCATAACAACAATCTATAGCCTAATCTACTAATTTTGTTATTCCATGTTGGTGAGGAGCTCAATTAGAAGTGTTTATTGTTGCAAGAAACTGGGCTAGGAGCACGTTTCCATTGTGGGCTTTCCTTTCCTTTCTTGAAGGAGAGGTTGGGAAAGCCAATGACCCATGTTCCTGCCAAGTTAGAGCCCATCCCATAACTCATCTCCTGTGGGACCCCTGCTTGCACGGCTGTTTCCCACAGGACCCATGGCCCCCAGCCAACCACCAGCCACTGCAGCCCAGGGAAAAGGCCATGACTACAGATAATTGTGCTGAGGTTTATCTCTTTTCAGCTGGGTAGCATCCATAGAGACAGAGGAGCAGATCCCAGCAGCTCTGAGCGCAGCCATGGGTGGCATCCACAGCTGTCCCCTCCTCGCATTCCTAACTCTGCAGACAGCTTCTGTCCTGGAGGGTTTGAGGGCACACATCACTGCCTGCTCATGGCCAGGTGTGTTTCCCAGACTGAGGCACTATCACCTCATCACCAAGTCCTGCATGTCTCCAAGCTTCCTTGAAAGCAGCTGCACCAGCCTGGAGCCAGCTCCTCCAACAGTGACTTCCCAGTGTAGCTCCTGTATCCCAACTGACAGGATGAGCAGGGAGAGGGGGAAAGGATCTGGAATAAAGCTGGTTCAACCCCTTGCCTAGAGACCTGTAATATACTTTCTCTACAGATAAAATGTAAACATGAAGAACACACAAATTGCACTTGATCCTTGGGATTGGGCATTTCACCAAATGCAGAGCTCTTCAGGGTAGGAAACAGTGGGATGGCAAGTGACCAACCTGACTGGACATGGGCCAGACTTAATTTACTCCTGCTAAAAACACTAACCAGGAGACATTGGGGAGTGTTGTTGGAACTACAGAGGAGGTGGGAAGGAGAGAGCTTGTTTTGCTCACAGCGTGTACGGGCAGAGGAATCACCATGCTGGCCCCAAGGGGCTGCCTCAGAGCCCTGCACTCAATCCTGATTTGGATCCCCATCCTCTGGGAGCAGGCTAACCGGAAGGTCTGACTGGAGCAGATTTCTAGCCACACTAAGAGCATCTCCTACAGTCTTCACCCCCTTTGTAAATCTTTGCCTTTTAGCATTAATATTTCCCTTGCAATACTTACAGATGATAATAAAACCCCTACAGAACTCTGTACAGGGCTGCAAAGACACATTTAATGAGCTCACTTCAAGGAAATTGTATTATTAAGGAGATGCTATTTATGTCTTTGTCAGGGATCAGGCTGCAGCCGTGGGAGCTGCCAGTGTGCCAGGCAGGCAGACGGCACTGTGCTCACAAAACAAAATGTGGATGTGCCCTGGACTGCCTGATGTGCCCTGGATTGTTTGGATGCAGCACCATTTGCTCTACTCTTTACCGGAGACACCAACTGAGGTGTCAAACACTCAGTGAAGTAACTCTCAGAGAAGGGATGTGGCTGGGAAAGACTTCCCTTCAGCACAGATGGGGAAAGTCACCTCCCAGGAGTTGGGAGCTGGGTGAGAGCTGTGCTCTGCTCTCTAGAAGTAAAAGCAATAAAAGCTCCTTATGGGGTTGCTGGGATCTGTCAGGTTGTATAAAAGTATCCATGGATTCACTAGCAGAATGCTAGATACAGAAACATCAGCTCTGGATTAAGACAGTGCACAAAAGTCCATCCCACTCTGTGAACTCAATTACTACCTAAAACGGCATCAATATGGTTTGATTCACCTTACAAAGCAGTGCCGGGGAGAGCCATGTCCACCCAAGCACAGCGTACTATCCCAGGAATCCTGGGTTGCCCCGGCTCAGGGGACGGAAGCCCTGCTCTCTTGCTACATGGAATGACGTATTTGGCAGCACCCAGATATTCCCACAGCCCACCTGAGACCACCAGGTTTCACAGACAGGGCCAGTTGGGGCCAGTGGGCCACTCCTCCCCAGGAGTGCCAGGCTGGTGCTCTGCAGCTTTGCAGGGCACTGCTTCACACCTGCACTCCTTGGCCGTGCATCTGGATCACCTGGGCCCGGAGGGTCTGGATCCCACTCAGGATGGTCTTCTGGTGCTCCACCACCGTGATCCCCAGGCTGAGGACATCTCTGCAAAGTAAGCCTCACATCAGCCAGGACCAACTAGGCCTGACTGCCACGTGCCCTGACACTGACTGCTCCCATGCAAGGGCAGCACAGGTTCCAGACATGCAGGAGTAAGAAATCCCCAACCTTTTGTCCCAGCTGAAGCAATACTGACGCTGACCAGGAATCCCGGGCTAACAGGAGCCTGCAGCATGCCAAGTGTGGGACAGCTCCAACCCCGCCACCCTGTGCTGTGGCACAACAGCTTATCAGTAAATCACACTGGATTTGGCTCTGCTCTCTGGCAGGGGAAGGAAACACTGATCTCGCTGTGCCTGTGACATGAGGTTACAGCCAGGAAACCAGGTCACTTACTGGGCTGTCATCCTGGCCACAGACTCCAGGTAGCAGTAGCCCGCAGCAGTGAAGTTGTCTTTGTACCTGCCCATTTCTATCGTTTCCAGCCACTCGCCTACAGAGCTGAAAGATGGGAAGCCTGAGAAGGTTCGCTCGGAGAAAGGGATGGATGTGCCATGGGACCTGACAACAGAGCAAGGGGTGAGGAGGGAGTGGGGCACGGCACGGCAGCAGGGGGATGGGCAGGCACGGCAAGAGAGTGGTCACCTGGGGCACGTGGAGCTGGGGCACTTCGGGGTCTCCAGACTCTGCAGCAACTTGCTGAGGACATTGTGGATGTGGGAGAACTTGGGCCTCTGGCTGCGGTCCTTCTGCCAGCATTCGAGCATCAGCTGGTGGAGGGGTGGCTGGCAGTTCACTGGGGCAGGCAGGCGGAACCCATCCTCCACAGCCTTCATCACCTGCAGCGAGGAGGACATGAGGGGCTGGCGTCAGGTGCTGCAATGCAGATCAAAGGCAAACTCTGGGGCAAACTCTGGGATAAACCTCCCTCCTCACACCCTGCCCAGGAGCAGCAGCAGCTCCTCTGTGTGCTGCAAAGCCACCACACACCATCAGCAATCACCACACCATCATCAACCGCGCAGCCGCAGGAGACTCACGTCCTGGTGGGACATGTCCCAGTAGGGTCTCTCGCCATAGGACATCACTTCCCACATGACGATGCCGAAGCTCCACACGTCGCTGGCCGGGCTGAAGTGGTGATACTGGACGGCCTCGGGGGCTGACCACAGCACCAGGCTCTTCCCACACTGGACAGGCAGAAGGGCAGGAATGATGTGCTTGCCCAGCGGGATTCCCAGGCGGCCATTTATTGGTCAACGTGCCCTGCCTGGCACCACAAACCCACGTGCCACGAGCATGTTTAGTACTAAGAGAAAACTTTTCCCTCAATTTGTTTAAAATGGCAGCGCAACTGTACACTACATGGGAATGTAAGTCCTGAAATATTAATGGGAGAGGATAGTGTCCCCAGGAAGAGCTGATGGCATTTTATACATTAATATTTAATGAAAACCACCTCAGAGCCGCACAAACACAAGTCCCTTTGCCCTGACTTGTTCTCCTGTAATGAACCATCCCCATCCTGGCATCTGCAGAGCCCTCTGGACACACTTGGGAAAGCAGGTGACAAAGACCACTGCTAAATGTAATTAACAGCAGGGAGACCTTGACCCCAAAGCCACAGCCCTGCTGCAGCACAGTGGGAAAAGCCAGTGCTCCTGCTGGGCTCTCCATTCTGTGGCTCCGCAGGAGGCTCCATACCCACGGCACACCCAGGGCATGGCCATGTAGCACGGCTGCAGCTGGAGTAGGCGTGGTGCTGGGCTGCTGCTGTGCAGTTCTCTGCCCAAACACATTGGATTTCTATCTGAGAAAGAAGCTGAAGGTGCAGAGGCCCTGCTCATACCTGAGGAAGGAAATGGGTGCTTAGAAAAAGTGTTGACAAGTGAATGTGGAAATGCAGCTCACCATGGTGGAGAAGATGGTTTCCATCTTATCTTCCTGTGGCCTTCTGAACCCAGTGATCTTGCACACCAGGCTGCTGCTCACAAGGACCTTGTGCGCAGCCAGGCTTTTGTGCACGTAGCCCATCTCTGCCAGGTACGCCATGCCAGAGGCAATGCCCTGCAGCATGCAGATGAGCTGCGAGCCCGTGAACTGCCCCTCATGTTTCTTTGAGAGCAGAGGAGGAAAAGCCAAAGGTGAGCAATGGGGACACAGCCATCAGAGCCTGAGCTGGGCAGACCCCCCAGCACTCACCCTGAGAAAGGAGTCCAGCAGGCCGTTCCCCATGTACTCCATCACTATCATCATGGTGCTCCCTGCACAGACAGACAAGGAGCACGGTGTGAATGCTACCATCACTCAGGCAGTTTGGACACCGCAGAGGTTAGAAATCCAGGTGCCAATCCCTCCATTGCCTTGGAGAAGGCAAGGACTTTATCTTGGCCAGGTTGCAAGGAGCAGTGGGTCCAAGGCTTTCCTGTCATTCCCAGCTAGGATCCTACTGGATTCCAGTATCAGAAATTCCTTTCATCAAAACTCTGAACCACATCACAAAGGACAGCCAGCCCAATGAAAGCAAAAGCAGCCAGCTCAGACAGAATACTTCCTTTCCTAATAAAAAGCCTAGTTAGCACACATGCTCCAGTTCCTTTGGATTTACATGAATATCCATTTAACTGCTGCATCCAGAGCCTGGTTCAGCACACACACTCATGGGAGAGAGCCAGAGCAGTCAGTCTCATCTGTTTTACTGACAGAATCTCACTTCAATTTGCTTTTATTAAAAGTCCACAGGTTCGGTTGCTAAGCCAGTCCCACTACCTGCATTTATTAATCTAGCTGGAAACATTCTATTAATCATCAAAATGTGAAACCAGATGATACATGTGGGAATACCTGATCTCCCAGGAGCCAACTGGGCCTCCAGCATCAGGTCACTGCTCCAATGCAGCAGCATAAATTCATTCCTGCACAGGAGCCTCCCGGGACCCACATACCTCTGGTGATGACCCCCTCCAGGCGGATGACGTTGGAGTGGTCAAACTGGCCCATGGTGCATGCCTCGGCCAGGAAGGAGCGCTGCTGCTTCTCTGAGCAGCCTGCCCGTAGCGTCTGGATGGCCACAGGCAGCTCTCTCTTGCTGGGCAGCTTCAGGCACCCCCGGCACATCTCCCCGAACTCTCCTGTGCAGCAGAGAGATGGGTTAAAGAGATCCATGGCTGCTCAGCACCTGGCCTTGCCGAGGACCTGCCCTGGATCACACCACTCCTCTGCATGGCTGCTGACCCTTGGCCTTCTCCAGAGCCTCTCAGGTGTTCCCTCTACCCTCTGCTCCAGTGCATACTGTGTTTTATCCCACGGAAAGAGGATTAACCCCTTGTCACTGAACTCATGCTCCAGAGCCTGGCTGCCCTGCCTTCCCAGTTTGACATGTGCAGGGCCTTCTTCCCAAGGAGCCAAGCACAGCAGGGCCAGAGGGCTCCTGCAGTGCTTAAGGCAGAACATCCCACTGCAGAGCCACACACTCCACAACAGGAGCTATGGAATTCCCAACATAAAAAGCCAATATTGGCTTTACAGTAAAAAGTGTGCAGCTATGAATGGCTTTATTGATTTGAAAATCAGGTTCTTGTTGGGTCAGCAGTGAAAAAAACACCCCCCCCCCAAACTCCTTAGATTTAAATGTCTTCCTGACTAATTTATTTCTTGATTTTTCAAACACCAGTTTGATTCTGAAAGGTACAGGATTCGTCTGAGCTGCTCCACGCCACAGCTCAGAGATAACCTTGTTTCCTCCTCAGTGTCCTCTCCCCTTCAAACTGTCCTTCAGCTGCAGGAAGAGCCCTTCCCTCCTCCCTTTCTCCACCTCTGCTGCTGCTGCAGCTGAATTTCTCTTAGGAAAAGAAATGACAAAGAATGATCGTGTTTCCCACGTTCTGGCACACAGTAGCCATTAAGGCTCTAAGGCCCAGCCAGGGGATTTTAATTTGCTTTTAAGTTTTAGGCAGTGAAGTTGATGAAAATCGATAAATCATTAGGTTCACATATTTATAAATAGTTTTCATGTTGCTGTCAAACTGCCCAGATGCAGATAATTGCTGATGCTTGCTGGTCCACATGGCACTCGTTTGGCTGTGCTCAGTGCCTCAGGAAAACACCAGGAATGTGGAACCAAGTCCCAGACAAAATCCTCACCACTACTCCTAATCTCCACTGCAGGCAGGTACCCCTGAGACAGGAGCAATGTCACAGCACTGCCATGGCCTGGCATGCCAGGGGCGAGAGGGGAGTGCTCTGGCTGGGCATCAGCACAGCCCCTGGCACGGCCACCACCCTGCAGAACTTGCCTGTCCGGATGATTCTCTCAATTTTTATGCTGGCATTATCCAGCTCCTTGGCAAAGAGGTGCACAGCCTGCATGGGGTCTTCACAGGTGTCAGGGTCAATGTACGTCCTCCTGGTTGGTATTTTAACTGCAGGAAAGGCAAAAAGAGCAGATGAGAAGGGCTCAGCAGAGCTTCCCCCCACCCATCCTGGGAAACACTCTCCCAGCTTATCCATCTCCAGGGCTATGGGCAGGACCAACATGCCACCTTTCTGTAAGCAAAGAAAAAGACTCAGCTCTAAGGTCTCTAAGAAATTTTTTTTTAGATTAGGTGAACCAAACTGCTCTGCTCCACTGTCACAACCCCTGGGTAAAGGAGAGCGGTCCCTTTGCTCGGGTGCAGCTCCCACCTTCCAAAGCCAATTGAAAAGCCCACAGTCCCTGGAGAGCCTCACTGTGCCAGCCCCTGCTCTGGGATAATGCAGGATGACTACACTTCAAAAGTGAGGACTCAGGGCTGCTTGGGTGGAAGCTGGGTTATTAACAGCAATAAATTCAGGGATCCCCACAGTCGCACTAGCCACTTACAGTGGAAGTACAGCTCCTCGTCCCCATCCTGGCTGGCTTTGCTGTACCCACACTGCCTGCAAAGAGAATGAAGATGTACTCCAGCACCTGGGCAGCAGACCCTTGGCCCAGCTGGAACCCCCCTGGTCCGTACCCAGCCCCACTCACCTCCTCCAGACCATCACACCGATCACTGTGGATACCAGCACTGTCAGTCCTGCAATGGCCACCACTACTATGATGAGGACGGGGTTCTGCTCACTGGAGGCCACTGTCACTGTGGGAGGGAAGCAGTGCCGGTCAGCTACGTGCCCTGGGGCAGTCTGAGGAGGGGGACTACCCTGGTCATTGCTCCCATGGCCTGCCCACATCCTCCAGCCAGCAGGGCCGTGGGACCAGCCACCCACCTGCTTTTCACCATCCTCACAACAATTCATATTCTGGTTCAGCTTTATGAACTCAGGCTGGTGGGATCAGCCCAACAAGCTGGGCAGTGCTGCAGGCACAGACGGAGCAATCCAGCACTGCTGCACCAGCTCCTGATTTTGTTAATCAGAGCTGAGGAGGATTCCTGTTTATCAGAGGGACATATCAAAATTTATGGCTTACAAATAGTTTTCCTTCATCACATTAGCCCTTCTCCTCCTGCCTTTGCAAACAGGGGTATTAAAAAGCTACATTCTCTATAAAATTTTTATTGGGTTCAATTCATTCTGAAATGTCTTCTGTGTGGCAAATGGAGGCAATTTAAAGCCCTGTTAAACACAATCTGCACGAGTCGTACTGAGTCAGCCAGCTCAAGCCTGCACTTCCAGCCAAGGTGGGGGATTGTGCTGAAGCCCAGCATCCCCCCTCCAGCCCTCTTTAGTGAAACAAGATGCTTCTGGACCACAGTTATGAATGGAAACTGAAAAGGAAAAGCCCCAGCAGACAATAATGATGCTGGCTGCCCTAAACCAGCCAAGCAGAGGACAAGCCTACTGAGCCAGGACAGTAGCAAGGTGGAAGGGAAGGGGGAGCAGTCACATGTTAAGCATATTTTTGGACCATCTCAGCCAAAGAACAGAAACTGTCCCAGTCCCCACACTAGAGAGCAGCTGCCCTCGCTGATGCTGCACTGAGAAAAGCCAGGACAGGAACTTCCAGGACAGGCAGGGTGCCAAGACCAAACTCATTAAAATCCAACATGAAAATGCAAGGAAAGCAGGTTGTTGGGCAGTACATGCCCTTAGACCTGGAGCAGCAGAACCAGAGGAACAGGTGCTGCTCCATAAAACCAGGAGCAGCTGGAACGGGAGATGTGAACGCAGCATCCCCATGGCCCAGCTCAGAGCCCTGACAGGGACAGGGACACGAGCCCTGCTGCACTTACACTCTGCCAGCGTCTCCACTTCAATGCCAGGGTTGTAGCTCCCATAATCTGGAGAGGAAGATGTTCGGATTTGGAAGATATAGAGGGTACCAGGCTTCAGGTTATTGACCGTCACGGCCGTTGATGTGGTTTTCACAGTTGAGTAACTTTGATCTCTCTGATCCTGTGAAATAATAAGATACCTGAGATGGAGCTGGACTGACAGCTGTGCTGCAGAGCTGGCACAGCACAGCCACATCCTTGCCTCTGGGCCCCATCAGGAAGCCTGTCCAAGCAGCCAAGCTCCAACAGAAACAATATCTTCACTGGATGTCTCAGAAATTACATGGGAAGGTCATAGGAAATGGCAGCCAGAGCTGGATGAGATGCTAAGAGAACAGGGAGAGGATGGGGAGGTGGAGAGCAGCTGTGCCATCCTGCACAGCTCCTTCCCCCTGCACCAGGGCTCAGCTGTGGCACTGTCTGGTCCCTTCCCACTCCCCTGCTGCAGCCACTTGAGCCCTGGAGTAAATCCACATAGACTGGCAAACACTGAGGTATCACAGCTGGCAGGTGGAGCCCCGAGGAGCATCCCAGGCCATGGTCTGGCACAAGCACGGGCAGAGTCCCAGCCCCATGGTCCGGCACAGGCAGCAGTCGCTCACTGCACCACTCACATTGCTACCAAATGTGTTTTCCATTTGATACACTTCTCCTCTTGAATCTCCAGTTAAAGCAAAAGCTTTAAAAGCAAAGATTAGGAACTAAGTTGATTTTCATGTCAGCATCAAGAGCCTCATTTCAGTGAACAATTGCTAAACTATAGTTAAATTTCCTACCCAAGTAGGATGGATCCTCATTTCATACCCCAACTATTGTGTTGCTGCAGCCCATTTGCACAGGAATTACCGTCTCGGGCTCCAGCATTTGCCCTCCCCCACAGATCCCTCCTCTCAAATCTATCAGATGCTGAAAATCACATTAATATGAATCAGCTTCACGGTAGCTGGTTTCTAAATACAGAACACTGGCATGTCACCTGCGCAGCGTGCCTGACATGCCATCAGCTCCATAATGAGCCTGAGCACACGCAGATAAGGTAATTTGCAGCATTGTGTCATAAACTGCATTTATTTTGATTTAGAGCCTTGTCCTTGCTCTGCCCACTGGTATTTCTTCTAAAACTCCCAACCCACTGTACCTGTCAAGAAGCAGCAATTTTTAAAACCAAGAGACTATCATGAAAAGGTTTGTTGGGCCTCCTCCTATGTGAAGGACCACTCACAGCTCACTACAGCAGCAGGTTCATGGCCCTCGGTTCTAAACCAGTGCAGACCACAAGATCCAACACTGTCCCGAAGAGCAGGCTGGGAACACAGAGGTCATCTCCTCAAGGATGTAGGAATTCGCTGCGGTGTCACAGTCCTGTCTAGATGGTGTCACATGGTGGGTGGGTGACGGGGACCGGGATGGGGGGCACATATAGCACCTGTACTGTGCCATTGAGAGCAGACCTGGCTGGCAAGGGAAGGACCCAGAGTCAACCAGGGCACAACTAGAGCCTGAGCTGGTGCCCAGCACGTACCTTCTCATAGTACTTGACCTCATACTCGGTGCCGTTGGCGGTCAGGAAGCCTGGCTCCTGCCATGACAAGGAGACGCTCTTCTGCTCTACTTTATCTGTGCGGATGTCAGTGACAGGAGTTGGTGCTGAAAAAGCAGAGGAAAGGAGTAAGGAACAGGGAGTGAGCTCAGCCCCAGCATGAAGCATGGCAGGAAGGTCAGTAATGCTCTGTGTGTGTGGTGGAAAAGGGCCGGCACTGGCAACACCCACCTGTGGTGAAGGTTCCCCCAACTCTTGCCTTGAGTCCTGCTCCTGTAAACTAAGCTAAGTGATCCTTGCTATGTTATACGATTCTCATCAATAAAATATCACACAAATGCCCTCCTGTATCTCTGAATCCAGCAAATGGACTGGAGAGACCTGAACGCATGGTCTTGACTGTTAACAAAGTCATCAGGAAAAATCCCACTCACTCAGGAACAAGCTGTAGAGCAGAGCCCATGGTACATGCCAGAAAAGCAGGCACCAGCCTCAAACAGGTTTAAAAAGCATTAAAGAAAATCACACAGGCTATAAAGCATTTCACACTGTGAAAAAAATGTGTTTCCCATCAATATTTTAAGGTCCCCTAACATTGTCTCTATTCTGAAAAAGCAAACATTAAATTATTCACCACTCTGCCTGATTTTATAAACTCCATTCCCCTGTACGTGGGTTTTCTCCTCTTGATTAACCAGCGCAGCAGCAGAACAGGCATAAAACTAGATGTGGCACCTTGTCCTTCCCTGGAATGATCCACTGCATCCAAAACCTGCCCTCAGCAAGGGGTATCAAACACCTCTGCACCCTGCCCTGCTTGTGCTGGACAGAGCCATCTCTCCCCTCCCTCTCCAGTTACTAACATCCAAAAACAGAACATGCCCTGGGCACCGTCCCAGGCAGCTCCCACCTCAGAGTTCTCCATTCCAAACCAGAGAAGCTGCCTCTCGAGTCAGCATGCAGCTCTTTCAGGGCAAAACCCTAGGAGTGCAGGGCAAAAGCCCCAGGAGTGCAGACCCTCGCCCTGGAACCGGCTCAGCCCATGGCCCCACTGCTCCCTGGGCACTGCACCAGCCCCAGTGCAGGGAAATCTGCTTCAGAGGACTGAATTCCAACCCAAATGCCTTCTCCACTCTCAGGAAGAAGGATGCATTCAAGCACTGGCTGCATTATTAATCTGCAGCAGATTTAAAAGCTCTTTAAGGCAGGAACCGATCTCTGCCAGAAATACAAATGACACAGGCCCAGAGTGCACATTTACATGGCTAATGCAGCTCTGCTCCTGCAGGTGAACAGCTCTGCTCACTCCTCAAACACTTTTATTTAGTCTCATGCTGGGGCCAGATTAGAAAAAACACAGTATTAATTTTGCCTCCTGCAGACTAAATTGCATCTCTTCTTTTCCCTGCAAATACACGGAATGACGGCCAGTACCCTCTGGTGACCGCTGGAGGGGAAGGGCAGCACAGATCTGCACTCAGAGCTGGATTAGAGGGGCTAAATAGGGTCTTGTTTCTTGTTTAATTTTTCCTCTGAACATGTATATCTGCAGCCAGAGCCCCTCTGCTGCTGCAAATGACTTCCAAGATCACGGCATGACAGCCCCCATGGAAGTCATTGCTGTTCAGGCATCCCTGGAGTCTCCTTTCTCTTGACCTCTGGCCCCATCTGGCATTTCTGTGGTGGGCTCTAATGACGAGGGGCTACAGGGTTGGGACTCCAGGAGAGTCTCCAGGAGAGACTCTGCAGAGCAGCTCCACATGCCATCTGTGCCAGCCATGGCTCCATGTCCTGCCTGCACAGGGTCCCCTCCTCACAGTGGGGTCTTACAGGCAAACTCATCTGCATAGCTGCCTCTCCAGAAGACCTTCTCCCCACCTTCTCCCCGTCTTTGCCAATGGGCACAGGTTAACCATCACCATCACTCCTTGCCCAGGGTGCCAAGGCAAGAGGAGCCAGGGCACCAGGTGCCTGTAAGACAGGGCAGCCCCAGCCTGGCATTGCCCAGGAGGGGACACTTTCAGCAGCAAAAACTGTCACATTCGAAGAAACTTCATGAGCCTCAGCTGCTCAGGTAATTCCAAGCCACCATCTGCATCTGGAGACTTGACAGCTCAACGAGAGAACTGACTTTGAACAGATTACAGGATTAATTATCCACATTCTTTATGCATATTTCAGTTCCCTCAGGAGTATACAATGTTGAGTAAGAAGGCTGAGATTCCCCCTTCCCAAGGGGAAAAGCTGCTCTGAGCAGCCAAGGTACAGGCTGGCATCACCGACTTGCTGCTTTGCTCCTAAGAGGACAGGGTATTTGCTGGCCTCTTGTGTCAAGATCAAATCTGGAGCCCCAGGCAAGGAGACAGCTCCAGAGCACTGGTCCCTCTGTCTGCACCAGACTGGAGGAACGACTCATTATTAGACCTCACCCTACTAAGCTCACTCTTCCCCAGCCTGTTCACTGGCTCACTGGCCTGAGTTTGGGAGGCAGAAGATCTTCCCAGAACAAAATCCATCCTTGAACAGCCAAGATCCTAATGAGAAATGACACTTCTGCTGAGGAGCAGTCTGCAGCACAGCATCCCCCAACAAATCCAAGGGGATTATGGTATGAGGGAAGAGAAAGCAATAACATGCACAAAAACATTTGATCAAGTGGTGGGAAATTATTTATAATAAGATCAAAGTTTAATCTCTTCAGATGAAATTGTTGGCCAATTCCTGCCAAGAGGTATGTGAGGATCATCTGTTTCCATTAACTGTGGTTTGGCAAAGGGTTTTCATGCAAATTAATAATGTAACTGCAGGGGAATGGACAAGGATACAACAAGCCAGAGCTGACTGTCCTTCGGCACAGCCAACAGCCAGGAAAGGACTGACCCCTCTGGCCAGGGCCCCATCCACAGGCAGCCAGGAGCCTGCTTCCCCTTACCTGAGGGAACAGAAATGCCAAATGGGAAATGTAAGGGAACAATTATGATAGGAAATTGTGTCCAGAGACCAGTGCAGGATAAAGAGAGAAAATAAATTTTTTTGTTTCCAAAGGATAGCCAACATTTGATTTATCTGGTTTAAGGAGGATTTTTTGTGAATGGGCTGAAAATGTTGCTTCATCAAAGGTATTTTTCTGTGATCTGTAAATTCATCTGCAGCCGGATATGGAGCAGGCTCACCCCTTTGCAGCCCAGGCTGTCACCACACTCACTCCTTGCCTCCCCATGGCATGTGCCATAACCCCCTGAGAGTGCCATGCGTCAGTCTTTGTCCACCCCTCTGCCACCACTGAGCACCACGCCTGTGTCACCGGGGTTAACTGAGTGGAATCGGGGCACTGCCACAGCACAGGCCTGTGGAGCCTGAGAACAGTCCCCACACCACCTCCAGACCCCGTGTTCTCCCAGCAGCAAAGCCACCAACATGTCTTTGGAGCAGACCCACACAGCCCAGGGGTGACGTGCCAGAGCAGAACAGGGCCAGCCACCGCCCCTTGGTGCAGCGGGGGCAAAGCACCGACCGCAGTCTGTGTGTGCCACAGCCCCGCCCAGCCCTGCCTGCAGCCGTACCTGCGTGGCCGGTGGAGACGTTGACCTCAGCGTAGGGCTGCCCCGTGACAGGGCTGACGCCCGAGACGCCGTTGACAGCCGCCACGCGGATGGTGTAGTTGACGTGAGGCAGCAGGTTCACCAGGGTGACGGTGCGGTCCACCAGCCCCGTCTGCTGCGGCACGAAGCCCACGCTGCTGCCACATTGCTCACAGCGGCCCTGCAGCACCGCCGGGCACCGTCCGCACCACAGGCTGTAGGTCAGGTCGCTGCGGCCGCCAGCATCGGCTGGGGCACTCCACTCCAGCACCAGTGACGACTGCCGCAGGCTGTACACCAGGTTCCTCGGGGCAGAGGGTGGGCCTGGAAACAGAAGAGTGTCTTTGCACAGGTGCCAGGACAAACCTACAGGCCCTCTGCGAGCAGCAGCACAGGCTGGCAGACCATGAGAGTGTGGGCCCGGACAGTCACAGCACGGGATGGCACAAGAGGTCATGGAGGCACTGGTGCGTGCAGCAGTGGGACATGGGATAGAGGATCCCTGCTGGAGTGACGTGTGTGCACCACAAGCCACAGCTCACACCGCGTGTGAAGCACCCCGCTGGACCCAGCACCTCCCCAGGTTTCGGCCCAGGGGCCCAGGAGCGCACCACCGGTCGGACACTGCCCAGCCACGCTCAGCAGAGCTGGAGGGCTCCTCGTTGCTGTGCCAGCAGCTGGACAGCATCCATCACCGAAGCAGCTGGAGTCCAATCCAATTAACTAGAGGCCATTTAATTAAAATCTGTGAACTGTGGCAACTAAATGACTGTGCCCCAGTTTTACCAGGGAGTCTGAGAACCTGACCGTGCACCTGTCTCATCAGACTGCAGCCTCAGCCTGCGAGCTCTGTGGCACAGGGACAGCCCCTCCACCTCCTCCCCACTGCAGCAGCACTCTGGTGCAGACAGGATCCCCAGGGATATGCTCCCACAGGGGAGGACACAGTGCAGGTGGGGGACAGCCTGGGACAGCCCTGGACACCGTGCTGTAGGACAGACACAGTGCCTGAACCCTGTTCCCTCGCCACAAGGAGTGGCCGCTCCGGTGAGACGTACGTGTGCAGGATGCAGATGGTGGGTCTGATGGAGACCTAGAGTAGTTCTTTTGGCACGAACAGAACGTGGAGGCTTCCTCATGCGTGAAGCTGTGCTCAGGGCATGGAGAGCAGAGAGGGAGATGGAGGGAGACCTTGTAAAATCCTGGAAGGCAAGCTGAAAGAGAGAGAGAGGGAGTTATGGAAAGAGCACCACAGTCTGACTGGGAACATGTCTGATGACTGCATTTCCCTGTTTCCTGGGACATCCTTTGCTGCCACTGGTCAGCAGACACCACCCTCTAAGCTTTCCTTGAGCACTTACATGATTCTGGCACCAAGCAAGGTGTGCAATGGTTTGAGCCAGAAGAGACATTTGGGTAGCTCTGCACTGACTTCCATAGTAAATGTCATTCCCTACCTAGGGCACTAGACAAACCAGGAAAACCTATCAACCATTAAAATTATTCCCAAAACTTCCAGCTCCCTCTTTAGACTTGAGAAACCAAATCAAAACTAATATTACATTCATAGAATGGAGACAGAGTGTGCTTTTTCGTTTAGTTAAGCAGCACTGACCACAACACAGAGCAGAAATATCACTGCGCCAGGCAGGACAGGAAAATCAATCCTGTTTACAAACATGATGGGACTCAAGTGCTAAGCCCAGAGCCCCCATCCCTCAGATGTGCCTGTCACACAATTCTGACATTTCATCGTAGGAATCTGAAGGTTTCCATTTAGAAGCATCTTTCAGACTGTTACTCCCTCTTTTCTAACAGTCAGAAGTAACTTTACCTAAGTATCTGTCATCAATAATGTCACAAAATGCCCTGATTTGCACGTCCCAGGAACAGGCACCACAACCCCATGCAAGCACATCCCACAAGGAGTCGTGGGCTTTACTTGCTAATTTTGTTCCTTGGCTGTCCAAAACTTGCCCTTGAGAAGAACAAAGGCACCCAGCCCATGTGATGCATCATGTGTGTGTCTCCGTTTCTTTTTTCAGACAAACTCCCACCCTCTTCCACCTCGTCCTACGAGTATTTTTCTTGGTCTCCAGCTGGTTTAGGTTTCCTTGTCATTTTACAGCGCTCATTTCTGCAGTGGGTTCATGACAGCTTTCGAGAGATCAGGTCATCAATTTATAGAATGAAATTCTCTTTTTTGTACACTATTTTCTATCCTGTTCCTTGTCCTCTGGTACTACCACAACTAAATTGTTAAACAATAAAATTCAATAATTCATTCTCCCAGAGGCAAAGAGAAGCAGCCATATGGGTCAGACGGATCAATCATCTCTCTCCAGCTCCACCACTGCTGACCACAGAAGCTCCTCAAGGCGTGCCTGATCCACATGACTGACAGAGAGAGCATGTTCCCCCTCTGATGTAACACTGCACACACAGTCAAACCAGCAGCAGAACCATCCACATTGATTTGTGCTGCAGGTTGACTGATTACCCAGCACAAAGCAACCATGTGAAGGGCTCCTCTTACCACTTCATCTGACACGGCTCCTCAGATAGGAGTGGATGTCTCTGTCAAGAAACAGCAACGTCCTCTTTGACTTCCAGCCTGTGCCATAGGGAGAGCAGGGACAATTGAGGATGTAGAGCTGGAGAATGTATGGTTTCCTACTCCTGTGGCACAGGACAGTTTTCATTTTCCCTCCCCAGCAAAGTCCTGCCAGCAGTAGAACTGCTGTGTGTGCCAGCGTCTATCAATAACGACTGTGGCCTCACTCAAAACACCTATACTGGTATTTATAATTAACACTACAACTTGGTTGTCTTCCAAAATCAATTTCTTTCTAGTTTTTGTCATGGAATTGTATTTGACAAAGTTCATCTGCTTTAATGTGTGTTAATCTTCTCTGTCGAAGTAGGCATTCATAAAAAGGATCTTTAGAAAAGCCACACCTGGGAGAACACGCAGCCAGCACTGGAGGGTGCCACAGTGAGAACTAGAACAGCACCTGGGGGCCGAGGTGCCCCAGCAGCCTGACAAGCCCTCCTGGAATAGGGCAGACTGGGAGAACTGGGTCCCTCCAAGCTCTCAGACTTGCATCCAGCCCTCAGTGAGCAACACTCCAACCTGCAACCTCACCATTGTCAGCAAAGTTGTTCCCAACACATCTCTCCCAAGAGCCCTGGTTCCTGCTGACCCCTCACCGGACTGGGCCAGCACAGCCAGCTTTCATCTATCTTAATTCCATTCTCAAGCCAAGCAAGTCACTGTTTATTATGTTCCAAATATTTCATCAGTGCTTCAGAGGAGAGGTGTCTCAGGGACAGGGACAGGGAGCAGGGCAGCAGCCCGAAGGAGGGACAAACACTGCCAGCCAGCACCTGCGGATAAGGACACACTGCCCAAACCAGACAGGGCACCTTGTAAAACACTGGGGGAACAGAGTTTCAGGGTGTATTGAGCTTGCCAAAGAGCCTTACTGACAAACATCCTGCCCTCTCCACGCTGGGTTTATGATCTTGCCTGGTCTCACTGCACCAGCTGTGATCAATACCGCAGGCAGAGCAATGCCCCGCAGCCCTGCGGAGAGGAGGGACAGCAATCATGTCCAATCTCCACACCAGTGCGAGAGGAACAAAGTCAGCAAGAGGAATGATCGATCAGAGCACTGAGTCAGGTCTCTGGCTTCTCTCACCTTGGTTCCATGCCTGCCAGAATGGGAATTTTGGGCTGTCTCACTTGAGAGAATCCAAAAGCACCTTGTCTTCCACGCAGTTTGGGGGTTTTTAATAAGTGCTTTTAAATATTACTTTCTAGTAGCCTATGGTCCAACATGTTCCCAGTAACTCTGACATCTTTAGACAGTGCTACTCTGTAATTTTTGCCCTTGTTAAATAACTTGAAGAGCACTAAAATGAAAACCTGTGTCCAGTGGCAAGATCTTTGTGCATCCCTGTCGTGGTTTTGCCCTGGCTCAATTTACTTTTACACCTTCTATACAGTGAACTCTTACCAGCTGAAGTTAAATTCAGTGATTTAGTCCAGAAGAAAATTAAATACACAAGAATGTTTAGTAAAACAGTCTTGAAATATCTAACAAAGTGCATTTGCTGAATCCAGCCAGGACTGACAGAACCTTGTTGCTATTTATGCCGGAGTGTTCCTCAAGGACACACTGAAGCAGGTACATCCGCTGAGCCAAGTGCAATTTACTGTTGTCTCTCTCAGTTCCCTAATGGATCCACTAAACCATTCCCACAGAAGGACTGGCTGACCGGCCTCTCCAGGACACCCCGCACCTGCCGAGCACTTTGGCTTACACAAATCACCTCAGCTGAGGGCAAGACACGTCCCCACAGGATTACAACAGCATATCCAGTATGTACATCCAGCAGTTAGGTATCCATAGCCTTCACCTGACTGGAATTCTGCAATCTACTTGTGATGCTTATAATTTTTGGAGTAGTTTGCTCTGAAATTGTCACGGAGCAATTTGTGTCTGGCTCTGCCATGATTTCCATAGCCATAATTATTTCAGACATACTGTGAACCAGTGATGTAAAACGTAATCCCAAATGATAAATATCTCCAAGCCTGATAATTACTCCCCAGAGACTGAAGAGAGAGCCTATTTTACACAGGTGTTCCACAAGCATGGCTGATGGGAAACAGCACCCACCATCCAGTATTATGGCTGCTGCAAGAGGTGTCACTGATGGGCAGGGCGGACAGATATTCCAGATTCATTCAGCAGAAAGCTCTCCACCCCTTTGGACTGTCACTTTGCCCGGGTCACAAAGGGGCTCCAGCCATGTTCTACTAGAGCACGACACTCAAGAGGAGAAAGCCAAAATGTAGCTCAGACAGGAAACTGAAGTACAAATTTCCATGGTGATTATTACTCCAGCGACAGGCACAGATTGCCTCTCACAGTCCCTGCTCACTGTGCAGCCCTGATCCCACCTCACAACCCCTGTGATGTCCCCAGCTCCAATTTATGTTTCTGTCAAAAAAGAGTGGCTGGCAACTATTTCTGGTAACTGGCCTTTATCATGTTAATTCATGGTTGGAGTTGTCTCATTTGCAACAACTGGCTGGTAAATATTAAGCTCAGGCTTTGTTGAAATTCTCCTTGCAGATATTACTAGGAATTGCATGGAAAAGATGAAGTAGGAGACTACAGGCAAACATCAGGTAGATTGTCCACATCACTGTTTCATTTACACAAAAGGTATTGCAACACACCACAAAGCAAATGGCTCAAAAGGACTACAGCTCTCACCTGGAAAAATTAAGGGTAAAAAGACATCAAAGCCAAGAAGCCAAGAAAAAACAAAACATGGATGGGCAGGGGATCATCAGGACTGCCCACTCGCCTGCAGCACATATGCTGGGAATGGGTTTTCTGGTCAGAGTAAGCGTAGCATCTGGCTACAGAGATATGTCAGATGAGACAAGCATCCTGAGTGCATTTACAGTGACAAAGCTCTCCTCTTCTTCGTGAGTGGATGTTAAACAGACACTAACGCTGTGCAGTCCCACCCCAGAGATGGCTGCGCTCCACCGACCGCCAAAATGATTCATCAGAGCACGCAAACCTGTCAGAGCCCCTTTGGAGCAGTGGTGCAGGACAGGAGGATGGACAGGGAAAAGCTTGGCTTTCCTGCAGCAGGAATTAGCAGGGTCTGAAGGCCTATTAGTTTTAATTCATCTCCTAATTTCACAGTGAGGGCACAAACGTTATCTTGGCCCAGGATGCTTTTGGCACTTAAATCAGGGTTATAGGGATGCCAGCTCTGACCGAGTTCAAATGCCTTCACCAGTTCACTTCCTGCATCCCCCAGTTGCGCTGCAGCTGCCGTCAGCGCCGCAGCCCTGCTGCCACCACCACCCGCCAGCGCGACCCTGGCCCTGCCATGCCATGGGCACCAGCAGCAGCAAAACCCCCATCACCTCCGGTCCACCACCCAGACCTCTCAGGCCCACAAGAGCTGTGACAGAGACTGTGGCCAAGAAGTTTCACGGGCCAGAAGGCTCATACCTGCTGAGCTCTCCAAAGCCACAGCTATGAGACCAAAGTGGTGGAACCCGATGTGCTGTGCCATTGCCTTACCCCAAACTCCCACTGTATCCACCTGCCTCCAGCTCATAGGCTTTTGTCCTCACTGAAGAATTTCCGTAGCCCTAGCTGCTTTCATCAGAAAGCTTTTAAAGCTATTCACTTAGCACTGTGCTAATACAGGGCTGTAAAACAAACACAAAACTTTCAACCCTTAAAAACTATTTTCTGATATTTGAGCAGACATCAGATGCTGCTCCACAGAGAGTGACTAATGACCTGCTTTCTGTGAAAGGGGAGAAAAACTTAATTATGTCCATTAAATTACTTCAAATATTTTTCCTCTGAGAATATGAATTATTTAAACTCAACACAGAGAAACCTGAAACATTAGCAAAAGCCTTCTGGGACTTGCTACGTAAATCCCCACTTGAAACAGATGGGGAAAGCATGGCAAGCTGCCATGCAGCCACTGAAGCAATCAACAGCAGAGATTTCAATTCGATAGCTTTAATAAGGTCTTCTTAAGGAGAAGCCACAGTCCAGAGCTCTGGGAAGAGCATCCCACTGCCTGGAAGAAGGAGGCACCATCAGTACAGTGTAAAACTGAAAAGCCTCAAGTTGTTCCTGAGGGGCAGACCCGATTCTGCTGGAAAAGCTCACTCTGCTACTGCACCATCCGCTTTAAATGCAGGGGAACTCTACCTGTCTGGGATTTATTTAGCTGTTTTCTCTCAATTTTTTTTTGAGGTGAAAAAGGAGAGGTCCAAGGTATCACTTGGACACCAGGCATGGGCAGCAAAGGGTCTTTTGTGCCATGTTTTACTGAAGAACTCATCCCCTCTGCCAGGTCCCAGCTGGCAGTAAGGTGCCCATGGACAGCATTAGCCCTGGAACTCTCTCTGTTCAGAACTCACACACTCCAAGGAGGAGCACAGCAGCCAGTATCCCACATTCAGGGCTGATCGCACACCTGGCTCTCACCTGCCTTCAAAAGTGAGATAGCAGCAGTCACAGACCCAGGCTGGTTAGTGGGACACCCATTAAGGCATGGGTATATCCATTTTTACAGCTGTTATTAAACGTAACCTTCTGAGCTGCAAAGTCACCAAATTATTAAACAGTGTCCAAAGCACGACAACAGCGATGTTAATGTTCTAGATTAATTTTAACATTAGAGATAAAGCTGTGGGAAATGCCTGATGGCATACAGAGTTCTGGCACGTCTGCCCAGCCAGCACGGTGCTGCAGAGCAGCCCCAGACAGCCTGTCCCACGTTCCCAAGCACCACCCTCCAAATGAAGGTCTGGTGGTTCGCTGGGGAGCTGCCATTGCCTAAAGAAACATATTGCTGACAATAGGCAATTCCACTTGTCCAAGCTGTGCTCAGGCACTGAGTGGTCTGGCAGCAGCACAGACTGACACAGATAAAAAACTGCCAGAGGACACCAACAGCCACCTTTACCTCTGCATCCCCCGTCCTTCTCCTCAAAGCCAGGGCTGCATGTGCATTTCCCTATGGGGACCAGCCACTCGCCCTCAGTGCTGCAGTGCATCCGGGGGGGATTATCCACGTCCACTTCAGCATGAGCGACACAAGTGCCCTTAACTTCCACCAACGTTGCAAAGGCCGTCTCTGCCACTGTGTCTGGGAACACAGCCAAGTTCTGCACGGTAGTGAGGCATTTCTTGTAATAGACCCGCACGGAGACCAGCGCCACACAGGCGCCCACATCCTGGAAGCCCAGGTGGAAGCCTCTCTTGCTCAGGTGCCCTATCTCCCTCAATTCAGTGTTCAGCTTCATCTTGCGCTCGCCCAGGTCCCCCTGCGTGAAGCTCTCATCAGCAGCGATGGTGTCGATCTTGGTGTGCTTGCTCTCATGGACGCTCTGGCCCAGGTCAGAGTCAGACTCGACATAGTACAAGTTGAAAGTCTCCTTGCAGGTGCTCATCACGCCAGGGATGCTGTTGCAGTCTCGCAGGGTGAACTTCAGCTCGATGAAGATCCTCTGGCCATCGCGCCTGGCGATCCAGCCTGTCTGCAGCCAATTGTTCTGGTTCGGTTCCATGACATTGCACACCTGGTATGTGCGTATCGGCTTGTAGTTCTCGTCCACACCACTGATCTCTTCCCACTGGGGAGAAAACACAAAGGGCTGTAACAGATCAGGAGCTGCCCTGGCAGAGACACACCAACCCATATAAATATCACCATCACAAGCCTCCCAACCACAGGCCATTATGTCGTAGGCACTGGAAGTCCTCAGCCTGCCAAACCCACTAGCTGCAGTAACCCAGCTGCTGGACCACTAAACACCAGAGCTTTCTGCAGAGATGCAAACACAAAGACATAACCAGAAAGGCAGCACTGCCAGCAGACCTTGGAAAACAAAGCCTGGTTCTGGATACATCATCCACTGAGGAGCCAGAGGCCTTCATCTCCCACAGGCTCCTTAGATTTTCTGTCTGTGGAAGGGGACATCCAGACAGCATTACTACACAATGTAATGCCACGTGGGCCACCCAGAGAAGTCCAAGATGTCCAAGAAGATGTGACACTAGTCACACCATCATATGAGAGGACAGCAGTAGCAGCTTCTCTGCCAGAAGAAGTTTTAGCTGGAACAGGACAAATCGTCTGACTGCAAGTGAAATGGTGTTTCCCCAAAGCTACCAGCAGAGATTCTGATCAGTGAAATGATGATTCAACCCTCACAGCCTGAATGACGACCTGGCAGTTTCCCAAAGCAATTCTTTCTGGGGGTAAATTTATGCAAAATAGCCAAAATGTACCCAAAACAGAGTTTCTTCTGCAGACAAACAGCTGGGCCACACAGATGACTCCAGGATCTATCACTGTTCCCTCTGAACACTTTGTTTTCATTCCAGAAAAGCAGCTGTAGACCGACACCAGCAGCAAAGCCAGGGTCTGATCAAATGAACCTTACGTGACACAGAGCTCCTGACAACTCCCCTAGCCACAGCCCTCAGATTCCAAGGCCTGGACTGATCCCAAGACCTCATGCTGGTGTGCAAACCACAACACAACGCTGTAACTGGTCGGTGTTCATCTGCTTGTCTTAGGAGTGTAAAATCCATTTCGAGGAGGGACTCCATACCAGTTGCATTACCCATACAGCCAACACCTCTCTGCTCCCCAGGCTGCCTGGTGCTGATCATGGCAAGTTGCCCATTGCTCTTGGAATGCAGAGACCCCAGGGCTGCCAGTCCCTGCCCCAGCTCCGTGTAAGCGAAGTGCTCATACTACAGGACTTCAAATGCTGCTGAGCACCAAGAGGCCAAAAGACCCTCTCAGGTGGTGCAGGGGGACAGTCCCACCATTGTGCTTACCCCGTTCGACGGGTGCGAGGTCCAGCCCAGCTCTGCCTGAGATTCCTTTGAGTCCAGCAGGACAACTGCAGGGAAGACAACATGTAAGCAAACCCACTGACACAAGAAACGCCGGTAAAACCCACCCAGTCACTCCACTGCGAAGATCAGTGCCATGCTGTCCTGGGTCCCAGGGTGCAGGAGCAACTACAGCCCTGGCTCCACAAGCCATGTCGTCACCGTGTTAGTACCATACGCTGCAGAGCTCTCACTGCACACCCAGAACAACCTCGCAGGTAGCTGACCAGTGCCCCAACGAGGGTGCCATCCCAGGGATGAGCCCTCTGACACCACAGCCAACCTCGCCACTGTGCCGTGTCTGTAGTGTGTGGATCCTGGCCCTGAAAGGTATCGCCGGCTGCTCTGAAAGGGATCTCCCTGGCAGACGACACCCTTTTTCCACGAAACAGCCAATTCTTTCTTTGATAGGAAGAGCTATTTCCCTCGATTCACAGCTTCACGATGCTTCCACATTGCCAGTCGGCAAACAGCCACAGCCCCGGACCGGCAGATTGAGTCTCGTCTCGGGCTCCGACACCAGTAACGCGGGGCGCAGCAGTGCGTCCCCGGCGGTCGTTTCGCTCGGAGGGCTCCGGGACGCTCTTCCCGGGGCCGGGGCCGGGGCCGGGCGGGTCCGTCCGTGGCAGGGCATCGCCGCGCAGACAGACCGCGGGGCTCGAACCGTGTGCCTGTCGCGGTACCGACAGCGGCGCCGCGCTGCCGGTTCCGCCCAGCGCCTCCGGTGATCGCGGGAACCGGGACGGCCCGGGCTGACCCGGCCACTCCGCGGGGATCCGCCCGCCCTCTCCCGCTCCTCCCGCAGGTCCCCGCGCCCCGGAGAGCGGCGGCACATCCGCCCCACGACCCGGCTGGCCGGTCCCGGAGCGTCCCCGCCACCGAGCCGAGCCGGCCTCTCCCGGTACCGCAACGCGCAGCCCGACCCGCCGAGGGCGAACAACGTCGGGTCCGAGGCGGCGGCACGCGCGCGCCGAGCCCGCCGGGCACGGGGGACACGGCGGTGCCGGAGCAGCGGGGACACGGGAGCGGCCCTCGCCCCGCCCGGCTCACCCTGCTCAGCGGCGGCGCGGGGCAGCGGCAGGAGCAGCGGGGGCAGCGGGAGCAGGAGCAGCGGGAGCAGGAGCAGCGACAGCCCCGTCTCCATGGCGCCCCAGCCCCGCGCCCCCCGCGCCGCCGCCGCCGAGCTCCGTGCCCCGCCCCCGCCAGGTGAGCCCGCCCCGGGGCGGGGCCTCGTCCGTCTTGGCCAATCGGCGGGAAGGGGCGTGGTTGGGGCCGGCGGCCCGGTCCGGTCCCAGCGGACGAGACCCCGGCCCCGGCTCCGGGGTCGCCTCTGCCGGCACAGGCGGCACGCCACGGGCTAGAGCTTTGGGCTGCGTGCAGCTGCTGCCCAGGGCAGAGGCTTCCCGCCCCATGGAAACCAAAGGACTGCGAGGCACGGGCAGCCCTTGCTGATGCTGAGACGCTGCGGCCACAATTAGCAGTGCTGGGCCGCCCCCAACCCCCAAATTATTTGCTCCCTGATGGTGGCAGTTCTTTTCTGCAGCACAGGGCCCAGGAGAGCAGCGGGGTAAATCTCATTCCTGCCCTAGCCTGCAAACGATGCCTGGGAATGTCAGTTTTATATGGAGCCCTCTATCCTGCCTTTCTGGGTTGAAATTTGATTCACAGCTTCATCTCGAGGTCCTTCAAACCCAGCAGCTGCTGTAAAAGCAGAAGTGGCCAGAAACCCTGGGAAAAGGCAGACCCAGGCAGAGTAGGTCCTGCCAGACCCGCACCAAGGACAGTGCTGTGGCAGCAGGCGCGGCACCAGGAGGCTGCGGGAATGCTGCCTGAGCTGGGGGTGGCAATTCCTGGCTCACTGCAGCCTAGGTACATGCCACCAGGCCCACGGCCTCCTGCTCTGGAGGAGGAACTTGACAGGGTTTGATTACCGCTAATTGTAGGTGTTGCAGGTCCCTGCAAAGTTTAGTCAGGCTGAACGCCTGCCAGCTTCCCACCTGATGGTGAATACCGTGACACAAAAGCTTGCTTATGTGGCAACATTTGTTCCTGTGGGATGTTCCCTTTGCTGTGATTATGTGCTGTCAAATATAAAACATTGCAAGTCTGGAGTAAAAATATTGAACCTGCATCTGACTCAGCCCAGTCGGGCTATGGCACCCTGTGCATGGCCCCTGCTCACAGGGGTGCATGCTCAGACCACAGGCCAAGCCCAGCTGGACACCTGGAGCCAGAGGGTATTTCCAGCCCTCCCTTCATTTCTCAGCCCCTCTGCAGAGAGTTACTACCTTTTCTCTCCCTGTTAACCTGACTGGTGACAAAGTCCCCATTTGTCAATGCTTTTCCCATCTATGCGAGGTCAAGGTGGGCCGGATGCTTTGGGTGCTGCTGCAGCAGCCCTTGGAGCCTGATCTGCTCCCCTTGTGCGACCACAGCCCATCAGCTCCTGGAACAGCCCTGATGGCTGGGGGCACAGGTTCATATGATCAAAACTCTCTCTCCATCACGTTACAGGGCAGGGAAGCAAAAGACAGAGTTTATTTATAATCTTCCTCAAGTGGAAACCAGAAGAAGTGACCCATTATTACTGGAGATTTCTCAAGCCACCCAGGAAGAAAAGTGATATTTAGTTGTCGTTAAAGGCTTAGAACTGCATAACAATTTCATGCTATGTTAACTTCTAGGTTTTCTTTCGCATATAAATTTTTAAGGAGTAAAATAGAAAAACCGAGGCACTTGACCTTTAATCACGGTTATTTGTGTGATCAGTCAAGTGTGGGAAAAAGCTAGTTTGTGCTTGAAAGATGCCCTTTAAAGCCAGATTGCTCTAATATGACACACAACTCTCACAGTGTAATATAAAGGATCTTGCTTGCCCGCCTTCAGGCACAGCAGCTCCTGTATTCACACGCTGGGTCTCGATGCTGGGACAGTGGAAGGTATCAATGCCATGAAGCAAATCGGTCCAAGCCCCTGGGACAGCTCCATTCACTGCCAAGCCCCGCAGGCTTGTACACTTTCCTGTCAGTGAGGAGCCAAGCAGGAAAGAGGATTTTGGATGTATATGGAGGATTTGATGTTTGTTAGATATGTTTCACTAGAAGAAGGGTCTGTCATGCAAACACAGTACATGCCTTTCCACTTATCTGAAATATTATTCCAAGCACTTATAAAATCTTCATTTTAGAAGAGCCAGAGATATTTTAATCAAGACTTTGAAGTATCATATTGTTTTGGGGAAATTATCTCATGAGTTTTTCTTTGGCAACACCAGATGACTAAAAGCCATTGCTGGGGTGAAGGAAACAGAGCAGCCTTTAATGGAGACTATTGGATTTCTTCACTATCAGACAAAAGGAGATGAGCAGGGCCAGGCGTCTGAGCCCAGAGATGAGCCAGGGAGCAGGACCTGGGGATCAGGGGACACAGCAGAGAGGTGCTGTCCCTGGGATGGCACAGCAGACAGCTCCTAGAGCACCAGTGGCACGACAGGGGCCAGTTTCTGCAGGTGAAGGAAGATGAATACTCAGATTGTTTGTCACCTCTGCTGCTCACATCCAGCTCTGTGCTGCTGCCCTGACCTACTCCCAGGTGCTGCCATAACTACAGGATGATACTGTGGAGACAAACAGGAAAGCAAAGACACCGGGTCATCCAGGCTCCAGATTGCCAGGAGAACTTGTGCAAAGAAAGAGTGAGGCCAGCCCAGAAAACATGTAATTGGCTGAGCTGAGATATTACCTGCTGTAAGTAGAGACAGAAAGGTAGTTTTGACACCACAGTGAAAATAACCCTCCTGGGAAAAAAAAAATCAATATAAACACCAAGGAAAGAGAATCAGAATCCAAGACCATCAATTCCTGAGATAAAGAGCTGAAAGTCTCAGTGGGAGGACAGCCAGATCTGGACTGAGAAACAAAACTTTGTTTCTTTTGCTGACAAATTACTTTTTATGCGAAAGGACAAAGGAGCTGGGCGGATGCAGGCCTTAATGGATGGCTGGAAGAGCAATCCTTGGAAAAAGACAAAGGAGGCAGAAACCTCATGGAAGCTTTTGCACTTCTCCTTTCTCTTCCACACTTGAAAGGATTTTCCTACAATGGAAAACAAGAGATTTGCACAATTTTGTACTCTTTGGTCATGTCACAGAAGCATGCTCCAGGACTTTCGTGGCTTCTGCTGTGGCATAGGCAGAGCCAGAGCAGAGGAGGCAACAGCATTACAGCACAAGTGTGTACGACATTAGGGAATACCCTGCTGAGGAAAGTGGCTCAGATAACCTGGTCCCACTGGCATCTCCCCAGCCCACCACTCCCAGCTGATCCCAGGGCTCAAACTCCGCTTCCCAGGGGCACAGTGCTCCATCACAGCCAGTGCCAGCCGATCCCTCACTTGCTCTCCTGCAACCTGGCAGAAATCAGTGAAAATGAAAGCTAATGTAAAGCTTCCCCATAAATCTCATGTTCAAAGCTGCACAGCTCAGCCTCATAGCTGCAAAGGGAAAACCCTTCTACCTTCTAGGTTGTTTGTCTCCAAATACAAAGCAACCAGAGCTGTAGAGTTGTTTTTAACAGCTCAGTCTTTCTGTCAGATGTGTACTCTTTGCTTCAGGATCTCTGCACTATAAATGTTTTTCAGCAGCTCTTTAGCTTTTAAGGTAATCACATAAAAGACCCTCAATTGCATAAAGGCAGCTAATCTGGGTAAATGCCTTTAAGTGTCTTTACGTTTCTTGCTAACGGATTTCCAGGCAGCCCACAGAGATCCACGTTCCAGAAAATAATGTAAAATAGAGTAACTGTCTAATTTTTTTAAATGCCTCACATTCGTCATATACTGAGAAAATTCAGAGCTCCAGGCAGCATAAGATCATTACACTTATATAAGTCATACCCCATTCTGTCATCATCAGTATGAACCCACCCTTTGGCTGGGGCATGGATCCACTCGACATTAAGTTCCAACTCAACCAGAGACAAATTACCATACACTAATAATTAGAACCAGACAGAAGGCATCCAGGCACTGCAGTCTTGTGACAGAGCCTGAAGGGCACATTGAAGCATGCACTGTGTGGAAAAGCATGTGTGGGATCTCCCCCAGCGGATCATGTCCTGGGAGCAGTGGAAGGGCCGGGGTCGATGCCGTGCTGTGCCTCCCACTACAGTAAGCCAGAGGCTGCCCAAGGGGAGAGAGAGGGAAGAGGGACCACTCTGCAGGAGTGGGTCTCCCCCAGTGCCCTGGCCCAGTCACTACTGACAGGCCAGTGACCACAGTGCTGATGTTTGCCTGGATGGCACTGAGCAAGAGGAAGCTGTTTGGTGCCAATAGAAAAGTAATTTAGAGCTCCAGAGGAATCCAATGGTAATCCAGTGCTAATTAATGTCTTATTACTTAAAGTAAACATAGTGAATTTGGGACTGTGTCCTACTCTCCCCATTCAGTCACTTCTGAGCAGCATGGCCAGAAACACTGACCTGCTATGCTCCCATGGCCAGTGAGCACAAGCACCTGGGCCAATTCCACCCCATCCCCAGTGGGACCCAGAGCCTCCGGAGCTGCTCTGCCCCTTCACTGCTGGCAGCCAGCACAGGCAGACCTTCATGATGGAGACGTGCACAGCAGAGTCGTGCTGGGGGGCCTGACCAGAGGGAGCCCCAGCTCTCCAGGAAGGCAGGTCCTGCCCTGCAGAGATGCTTTGCTAGCACTGCTAAGCATAGGGCAGGATGCCAGCATCCTGGCAGACTTCTTCCCCCTTAGCCTGCCCCTCTGCTCTGTGGCTTCACTTACACTGCTTGAAGGGCAGAGGTGCAGAGTGAGAGCTCAGAGTGAGCCTCTGAGAGCCGAGGGAGGAATGAGGATGTACCTCAAGTATAACGGTGCAAACAACCACTAAAGTAATTTTGATATGAATTTGAACAGAGGAGTTGTCCTACTTTTGATTTGCTCTCCCTTTTTTCCTGTCTGGTTTCATTAAAACCACTTACAGAGATTTGCAGCAGTTCTGTTTGAAGTGCTGTCATCAGGATTTTCATTTTCAGTGGCATTGGAAATGATCCTACCACAGGCTGGTTACGTTTCACGAAGGGATCTGCAGTGTGTGGCCATCACTCATGATCGGAGGCATTTCAGACAGGTTAGATCTGCT